AGTCGGATGCTTAACCGACTGCGCCACCCAGGCGCCCCAATCCTTCAAAGTCTTGAGAGGGAAAAAACAACAACATTATTACACCAGATTTTTAAATAAAAGCAAATAAATGAAATAGTGACTGTTGATTCATCAACACGGTAAAAAGCTCTCATAAAACGAAGCATAGTGAAGATTTCACATTACATAAAACATAAAATCAGACTTCATAATTATATCTTATTTGAGAAATATTTTATCAACGTTTATTTATTTTTGGGACAGAGAGAGACAGAGCATGAACGGGGGAGGGGGGGCAGAGAGAGAGGGAGACACAGAATCGGAAACAGGCTCCAGGCTCTGAGCCATCAGCCCAGAGCCTGATGCGGGGCTCGAACTCACGGACCGCGAGATCGTGACCTGGCTGAAGTCGGACGCTTAACCGACTGCGCCACCCAGGCGCCCCTTGAGAAATATTTTAAACATTGAGGTTTTCTTACAAAATTTGGTAGTTTGGTTGCTTAAAAAAACACACACACAACAAGGAACTCAGTAATTACACCAGCTAAAAGGTTTACTTTTCCCTCACTTTCATGAACATACTTGTAGTGTAAGTCCAACTCTGTTGGGTCCTCAGAACTCATTGAGCAATTGGGTCTTTATCACACTGGCCCTGCACAAGTTCTCTCCAATCCCAGAGTCTTTCAGTGCCCCATTTCTGACCTCACTTCTTTCTCTCTTGCACAACTTACTATTTAAGTAACCCATCATCTGTCATTTCAGCCTTCCTGAAAGCTATCATGTATAAGAAACCATTGGCTAACCAGCAGTTAATCAATCAAAGCGTGTGTGAATCCTGACTCTGCCCCTTTCTAGATGTGTGAATGTGGGTAAATGACATCACACTTATAAGCCTCAGTGTCCTCATCTGTAAAACAGAAATAACATCCACCATACAGGGCTGCAGCAGGGAATGGAACTAATGTACACAAGGCAAAGTATTCAATGTAATTAACACCACAAGTGATCGCTGTTCCAGTTTTGTTGTTAATAAAAGTATTTAGACACAAATTAATAAGTATGGCTTCTACCAAATGAAGAGGTGGACTGTTCATTAATAATTACAGTATTGTGTACTATAACTCCAAAATGTGGCCCAACAGTGATAGAGATCATTTTGCTACACTCCTCAAAAACCTTTTAAAGTGGCAACTACGTTGAAAGAAGAGGTTTGATAACATTTGGTAACATTAACAATCTGATAAATTAATAATATCTTTGCTTTTCTATCACCTCCATATCTCAGTAGATAATGGTGGAAGGCTTCAATGAGGATACTCCCCAAGTGTCAGACCCCCTGGAGATACTAGTTTTTTTTTTTTTTT